ACCGCTGGGCCGTGAAAATCGATATTGATTTTTCAATTTTACCGGTTTTGAACCGATTTGACCGGTTCTTGTGCCCAATTGTTCAAATGCTCAAATTGGACCGGTACTATGGTCGGTTCACGATCAAATTGGCCGATTCGGTCCGGTTTTTCAAACTATAGTTTTTGCAGGTCTGCAGGAGATCTAATGGAGAGGAAGCTCAAGTTCAAACTGATTCCAGCTGGTGTGAGGTCTTTGCGTACCATTTTGGCGCCGTCCGTGGGACTTCCGTTTGAAAAGTTGTGTTCACAATAGCCATGGCCGACGAAATTCCCAAGGAGAATTTGGAGCATACCTTTGACGAGGAGCGGCTACACTCTCTCCCATTCGGAGCAGGCCCATCGACGAGCTTCTATGAGCCTTCGCAGACCCCGATGACCCCAACACCTCGTCCAATGGGCTTAGGGAGTTCATCGGTGGTCCCGACTGACGTTAAAGACCCGAAAACAAGGCGAAGATAAGGCAGTGGCAAAAAGGTTTACAATTAGCCTTAGCCGGAAGAGACTGAGAAATTTGGGTGCACTCGGTAGGTCAATTTCAGGAAGGATTGAGGTAAGGGAAGACAAAATGCAGAAGTATATTGATGAGATGAAAAGGTTGTAAGAGGAGTTCAACTTTTTCGAGTTGATCAAAATATCTAGGGCCGAGAATGATCAGGCCGATTTGTTGTCGAAAATAGCATATAATTTGGTCGATTGCAAGAGTCAGGGTGTCACATTACTGCACATGGAAAAATGTGCAGTCGAGGTCGATGTGGCAGAAATTAAAGAGGTCGAGGACTAGAGAGCCCCTATTCTGCACGAACCGAAGGAAGGAAACTTGAAATATGTTAAAAGGTTTTTCAAGCAGGGAGGAATTTTATATAAGAGATCTTATTCAGGACCGCATTTAAGGTGTGTGAAAAAAGAATAAAAAAACTTTATTTATATGTGTTGAATGAGGTCCATGAAGGTTGTTGCGCTGACATAGTAAGGTGGGGTCGTTGGTGGCAATGATTTTTGAGCTGGTTATTTTAGTTGACCATGAGGGCGGATGCAGTTATGATGGTGAAGAAATACTTACAGTGCTAAAAGCATTGTCCACTTATCCATCATCCGGCGTAGACGATGAACACGTTGAGCTCACCAATTCTGTCGCCCAGTGGGGAATCGACCTAGTGGGGCCTATGCCACAGGTTCCGGCTAGAGGAAGTTCTTGATTGTGGTCGAGGATTATTTCACCAAGTGGGCTGAAGCCGGGCCTTTAGGCAAAATCACGGACGATAAAGTGATGCACTATTAATATAACAATATTTCTTGCAGGTTTGCATTCCTAAAGTGTTGATCTCCAACAACATAATTCAATTCCACGACAAGAGGGTTCGAACATGGTGTGAGGATATGATGATCGAACAACACTTCGCCTCTGTGGCTCATTCGCGAGTCAATGGTCAGGTTGAGGTCACAAACCGAGTTATTTTGAGCGAACTGAAGGCAAGATTGGAGAAGGCCTCGGGGGCATGGGTCGACGAACTTACTCTTTTACTTTGAGCATATCGGACCATCCCGAGAACGACAACCAACGAGACCCGATACAGTTTGGCATACGGGGAAGGGCTCTTTTAATAGCAGCATCCAAAATGCCTATCCGAACTCAATTTATTTTTTCGGGATAAAGTAAAGATAAAAATCTAGAACCGGCAGAAAGAAGTCTTGGGATGAAACAAAACCGCGAGTTTATTTTTTTATTTTAGATAAACAATATTTCTTTTATTTTCTTCATCCTTTGCATTGAAAGAATAGCCTACAAAATTAATATGATTCAACCGCAAACCCATTTAAACGTAGCAGATAACAGCGGGCCTCGAGAATTGATGTGTATTCGAATTATAGGAGCTAGTAATCGTCGATATGCTCATATTGGTGACGTTATTGTTGCTGTGATCAAAGAAGCAGTACCAAAGATGTCCCTAGAAAAATCAGAAGTAATCAGAGCTGTAATTGTTCGTACCTGTAAAGAACTTAAACGTAACAACGGTATGATAATACGATATGATGACAATGCAGCAGTTGTGATTGATCAAGAAGGAAATCCAAAAGGAACTCGAATTTTTGGTGCAATCCCACAGGAATTGAGAGAATTCATTTTGACTAAAATAGTTTCATTAGCCCCCGAGATATTATAAAATAAAATGAGATCATGATATCTTTGAGGTATTTGAAAGAAATCGATTAAGAACTAGATTAATTTGTAGATTGTGTCTTATGCATATATCTTGAAAACTTCATATTCATAAACCAATAAAAAAAAAAAAGAAAAACATGTTGATTATATCCAATTTTGGGACACCAATAATTTTCGTTTATCATGGGTAGAGAAGCATTGCTGCAAGCTGAGATCGAGCTAGAGTCCCAACGATCGACAACATATGATCGCGAGAAAAACAAAGAGCTAGTACAAGCAACATTGTACACAATTGACGAACTGTGGGAACAGACGTCGACTAGAGTAGCGGCATACAAACAAAGAATGCAGAAGTCACACGGCATATTTTGATTTCTCACACACAAAGCACATATATGACACACACTAGCACTCATGGCACTCACACAGAGCACCTTTATTTTCTTTATTGCCTTACACTTTTCCTTCTCTGTTTTTGCATCCACCAGAGGCCAATCTTTGAAGGTTGTAAACATTGAGAGACAAACAAGAGAAAACGAGTGAAAACCGATCAGGTCGACTTTTGTGGAATTAAAAAAAAAAACAAGATAGAAACAAACCAGTGCTACTACCGTGTGCCTTGGCACACCTAACAAAGTGTGCCAAGACAGTTTAAAATGAACATGTTACTTTATAAAATGAATATGTGTGTTCATTTTATAAAGTAACATGTTCATTTAAAAAAAAAAAAAAAAAAAAAAAAAA